ATGATAATTTCAATTTACACAAAAAAGTGAAAGAAGCAGCAGGCCTCTACAAAAAGAAAACCAACAACTTAGTTGACAAAGGGGAAAATTATCTTAGATGAGGATGAAAAACTAAAAAGATGGAAGGAATATATTGAAGAAATTTTTGAGGACAATATGCACTGGTAATTGTTGATGATTATAGCAGGTATAGTTTTTGCTACTTGCTTAGAGGTAAGACAGAGGTGCTACAACAATTCAAACAGTGGGTAAGTTTTGTAGAGAGAAGGTACAGACAACAAGTGTGTCAGCTGCAAACTGACAGAGGTACTGAATTTATGTCAACTAAATTCCAACAATGGTTGGGGCAGTTGGGAATAAGACACAGACGTACAAATCCTTACACAGCAGCAGAGAACAGTGTAGCTGAAAGAAGGAATGGTATTTTGCAAACAATGAAAGATTCATTATTAGAAGATTCTGGTATGAGCAGGTCATATTGGGGAGAAGCCATATTGACTGCCAATTATATAGTTAACAGGCTGTGGAGTTCCTCCATTAATAATACTCCATATGCCATTCTATATGGGAGAAAGCCATCACTGGCACATTGGAGAATTTTTGGAAGTACTGCATGGGTACATATTCCAAAAGCAATCAGAAGAAGGGGACAGCAAAAGGCAAGAAAGCTCAGGTTCGTGGGCTATGAGCCAGGGTCAAAAGGATATCTCTTTAGCGATGGAAGTAAAAGAATTGTAATTTCAAGGTCTGCTAATTTTGCAGAACAAAATTGGGACAGAATTAATGCAAATTCTGAGCATGTCTCAACTGTGAGAGCTTTGATTTATTTTTTCACCAATAGAGAAATTAAAATTCGCTAACATTTTGGATACCGAAGAAAAATTAAAATCTAAACAAAAGCTTGTAGACCAGGGTACTGAATTATCATGGTGGCCTCAGTTGCAAATGCAATCAAGTATGATAAAGATGCGAAAATGTATGGTTTTTATAAAGTACAGACAATGTTTGATCAGATACTGTTAACCTCTGATAAAAAACTATATAACTTTCTACTAAATTCAAAAATGGAGGATGAACAAGTGAAAGAAACAATGATACAGTGGGCAGAAAACTTTGGATATAATATAGATTTAAAGAAATGGCAAAATCTTTGGGAAAGAAATTATAAATTGACCTTGGCAACTTCTTATAAAAAACTGATATAAAATATTCTATAGATGGCATTTACCACCTGCTAGATTAGCAAAAATCTTTAAACGTATGTCCAGTAAATGTTGGAAATGTAATCAAACACCTGGCCTGTATTACCATATATGGTGGCCTTGTGTTAAAGAAAAATAATTGGGGCCAAAAGATGCACTTGGATAGAAAGGATGTTACGGAAACATGTAGAATTTAAACCTGCACTCTTTTTATTAGGTATAATATCAGAAAATTTTAATAAGCCAAGTGTATATTTAACATTGCATAGATTAACAGCAGCACGGATTGTATTTGCTCAGCACTGCAAGAATGAAGAAACACCACTAGACAAAGAGATAGTCAAGAAGATATTGGACTGTGCTGAAATGGACAGACTTACACTGAGGATGAAAGAGAAAGAAGATACAGAATATTTTCAAACATGGAATTTATTTCCTCAATGGTTGGAGAAAAGGGGTAGACACTTAGAATGTAACTTGTATTATTAAGCAAATAAATTGGATCAGACAACACCATGTTTATTAGGCACTAATCAAATGTAATAATAGAAAATTAGAGTTGGAAGGGACCTTGGAGGTCTTCTAGTCCAACCCCCTGCTCAGGCAGGAGACCCTATTACTATTCCTGACAAATGGCTGTCCGGTCTCCTCTTAAAAGCCTCCAGTGACGCAGCACTCACAACGTCTGGAGGGAAGCCATTCCCAAAGAATCAACCTTCATTTGAAGGAGACTTTTGAAATCTTCCCACCAGCAGAAAATCGAAGCCCCCAGTTTAACAGCGAGCAGCATCAGTGAACTTAAAAGTTGGGGAGGGAAGGAAAATGCAGCAGCAGCAGCTGAGATGCTTCAACCGAGTTGCTTCTCTGCTTGGACGCCCTGGAGGAAACCAAACAGCCCCGCTTGCTCCCGGCTTCTCCTCAGATCTGCCCTCCACTCACCTTTCAGCTGCTGCTTCAATCCGGGAAGAGCACAAAATCATCCCCACTCACTATCTTCCTCCGATTAGTGATCAGGAAGAGGAAGTTCCTCGCCGCTTCCCCTCTCCTCTCTAGCAATATAGTACTCGATGGTTTTAACTCCTTTAAGCTCAACCACAAATGCTGTATTGTCCGCTTGCTAAGCACAGATGTTGCCTTTTTCACCGCGGATAGGAGGCGGAAAAACACGCTTGTCTCCTCTGTGCCTAAGGCGTTTGCACGATTTCCCCCCTGACTAAAAGCTATCAAGTCGTTTCTGACCTCTAGCAACCGACCTTTGCAATAGCCTAGTCCAGGGGTAGTCAACCTCGGCTCTTTTATCTCATGGACTTCAACTCCCAGAATTCCTGAGTCAGCTATGCTGTGGAGTTGAAATCCATGAGTCGTAAAAGAGCCGAGGTTGCCTACCTCTGGCCTAGTGAAATGTGATGCTAGTTAAGATTAAATTAGAAGATTAGCTATATGCTGAGCCCCAAATGTTCATGACAGTTTTACACAATTATACAACCAGCTTTCCTAGGGGTTGACTCTCAGTGGAGATCAAAAGCTCTCTAAACCCAAAATCTTTAAGATTTATTTAATGTGGCTCCCAAGGTTTTAGGACAGTGATGGCGATCCTTTTAGAGACTGCAACCCAAAACCAACTAATGCATTCTCCAGTGCTGGGTGGGTGTGGCCAATTGGCTGGGGGTGGCCAATTGGCTAGGCGTGGCTAAGGTAGTAACGGCAGACAGGATGGGACTAAAAAGTTCAATTAATCAATTCCAACTTTTGCAAGATCTTCCCCCCACCCCCAACAAGTTGAAATTGACTGATTGAACTTTTTTTTTTTCTTTCTGCACACAGTCGCCCCAGTCCTAGGCCTTCAGCTGGGTTTTATAAAACCTTTTCATTTAGGCCTCTGCCGCCATGTGCAAAAAAAAAAAAAAAAGGTTCACAGTCAATTTCAACTTCTAGTGGGGAAAACAAAGTTCTTGCAAAGTTGGAATTGATTGAAGTTTTTAGTCCCACCCAGTCTGCCGTTACCACTGCAGCCATGCCCACCCAATGGGTCACACCCACCCGGCACTCGAAGATGCATGTGGGTTTTGGGTTGCAGTTTGGGCACTCAGTCTCTAAAAGGTTCACCATCACTGGCCTAGATATACCTAACTTTCTCAACGGATTGTCATTTAGCGTCCAGACCATTTACGATCTTTCTCCTTCTCTGCACATCTTCCAGGGCCTCAACATGTGTTGAACCATGGGACCAGAACGGGGTGCAGTATTCTAAATGTGGACTCACCAGTGTGGTGTAAAGTGGTACTATCACTTCTTGTCTTGACACTATCACGCTGTTGATGCAACCTACGACTACATTGGCTTGGGGGGGAGGGGAAGCTGCAGCAGATTCTCTGCTCCTACCAGTCCATTAGGACACCTAGATTCCTCTCTTGAGCCAGATATTACATATTCTATTCCTGTTCGTTTTTCCTACCTAGGTATAGGACCTTATTTTGTTCACCAATGAGCTGCATTTTCTTGGCCCAATGCTCAAATGTGTCAAGATCCTTCTGGATCTTGAGCCCATCTTCTAAGTATTGGCTCTTTTCCCCAACTTGGTGTCATCTGCAAATTTCATTTGTTCCCCTTCTATCCCCTCCTCTAAATCATTTATGAAGATGTTGAAGAGTCCTGGGCCCAAGACCGAACCTTGAGGTACCCCACTCTATGCTTCTCTCTATGTAGATGTAGTTCCATTGAGGAATACCCACTGAGTGTGGTTGGTCAGTCAATTGCTAATGCACCCAGTCCTGCTTCTGTCTATCCCATGTTGTTCTGTCTTATCAAAAAGTTAACTTGCGCTCTACCTTGTCAAATGTCTTGCTGACGTCCAAGTATCCTATCTCCAAAACATTTTGCAAATCCACTAATTACGTTACTTCATCAAAAATGGCAATAATGCTTGTCTGGCATCACATTCTTAACAAACCCATTCTGACTTATTACAGCTGCCTATCATTTCTGTTTCTCCAGAAGTATTAGTGGAAACAGAATACAAGTTGTTTAAGTTAATTAAACAACTTGTGAAATTCTCAGTCTTTTAAAAGAAGAAATAAAATCAGGGGGGACGGGACCCAGAACCAAGAGGGGTCACAGGCACCTTCAAATGCCCAGAGTGCCACACTCAGGACAAGCTTTCAGACTGAGCAGCCGACTTATTCTTAAAGGAATTCATTCCCGACATTTTTTGAACATTTGTGTCTACTCATTGTTGCCATCCATGAGGACCTGAACTTCCATGATGTCTATTGAATGTGGTTCAGAATTTGGAGAATCATCAGGAAAATCAGAAAAATCCTCTGTGATTCTTTGATTTTCAAAGGCTACAAACCGACTAGCAAAACAAATGGCTGTTTTAGAGGGAAACCATAGCTTAGTTGTCTAGTTTGAAATGTCCTAATTTCCCTGTCAGACTAGCAATGATGGAGAAGACAATTGCTGAATCTGAGAAGGATGCCAATCAAAACATATCCAGTTAGCCGTTCTAATTTTTAAACTGTGCCTAATGAATTGCTGTATTTTTATAGAATTTAGGATGTGGGCAGATAGAAATGCAACAATAAATTAAGAAGCCTAACTGCAGCTCACGTCATCAGAGGAAGAGAGTAGCGGGACTGATGTATGATTGAAACTGAAATTTTAAATTTATAAATGAGGGAAGGGCAGCTGAGTAAAATAAATTACTTAAGAGATGCAGATTTCACAAGAGACAGATTACAAGGTAACAACTGTATGTGTTAGAAACCTACCATTATGTATCACTGAGCAAGAGTTGAGTAATGAGCTTTACATTATCTTTTTATTATTAAATTCATTCATTATTAAACTTAATCACTGCCCATCTCACTGTTTGAGGCAACTCTGAGCGAATTCCCTTCACCTAACGTCCATAGCAACACTGGATTTATCAGTGAAATATTTCCCACAATCAGGACAAAGGGTTTTTCTCCTGTGTGAGTCCTCTGGTGATTCACAAGGCTGGAATTCTCACTGAAACCTTTCCCACAATCAGGAGATTTAACGAGTTTCTCTCCTCTGTGAGTCCTCTGGTGCTTCACAAGGCTGGAATTGTGACTGAATCTTTTCCCACAATCTGGACATTCAAAGGGTTTCTCTCCTGTGTGAATCCTCTGGTGTCTCACAAGGTTGGAATTCTCACTGAAACTTTTCCCACAATCAGGACATTCATATGGTTTCTCTCCTGTGTGAGCGCTCTGATGTATCACAAGGCTGGAATTCTGATTGAAACTTTTCCCACAATCAGGACATTCAAAGGGTTTCTCTCCTGTGTGAATCCTCTGGTGTCTCACAAGGCTGGAATTCTCACTGAAATCTTTCCCACAAATAGGACATTCATACGGTTTCTCTCCTGTGTGAGTCCTTTGGTGTTTCAAAAGGCTGGAATTCAGACTGAAACTTTCCCCACAATCAAGACATTCATACGGTTTCTCTCCTGTGTGAGTCCTCTGGTGTATCACCAGGCTGGATTTGTGACTGAAACTTTTCCCACAATCAGGACATTCAAAGGGTTTCTCTCCTGTGTGAATACTCTGATGTCTCACCAGGTGGAACTTGCGACTGAAACTATTCCCACAATCAGGACATTCAAAAAGTTTCTCTCCTGTGTGAGTCCTCTGGTGTATCACCAGGTTGTACTTGTGACTGAAACTATTCCCACAGATAGCACATTCAAAGGGTTTCTCTCCTGTGTGAGTCCTTTGGTGTTTCACAAGGTTGTAATTCTGATTGAAACTTTTCCCACAATCAGGACATTCAAAGAGTTTCCCTCCTGTGGAAGTCCTTTGGTGTTTCACAAGGCTGGAATTGTGACTGAAACTTTCCCCACAATCAGGACATTTAAAGGGTTTCTCTCCTGTGTGAGTCCTTTGGTGTTTCACAAGGCTGGAATTGTGACTGAAACTTTCCCCACAATCAGGACATTCAAAGGGTTTCTCTCGTGTGTGAGTCCTCTGGTGTATCACAAGGCTGGAATTATAACTGAAACTTTTCCCACAATCAGGACATTTGAAGGGTTTCTCTCCTGTGTGAGTCCTCTGGTGTATCACCAGGCTGCATTTGTGACTGAAACTTTTCCCACAATCAGGACATTCAAAAGGTTTCTCTCCTGTATGAGTCCTCTGGTGTATCACCAGGCTGGAATTCTGACTGAAACGTTTCCCACAATCAGGACATTCAAAAGGTTTCTCTCCTGTATGAGTCCTCTGGTGTATCACCAGGTTGGACTTGCGACTGAAACTATTCCCACAGATAACACATTCAAAGGGTTTCTCTCCTGTGTGAGTCATCTGGTGTTTCACAAGGCTGGAATTCTGACTGAAACTTTTCCCACAATCAGGACATTCAAAGGGTTTCTCTCCTGTGTGAGTCCTCTGGTGTTTCACAAGGCTGGAATTATGACTGAATCTTTTCCCACAATCAGGTCATTCAAAGAGGCCTGCATTACTGCTCTATATGACTTTCCAACAGACCTTCTCTTCCAATAGACTTCCAGATATTTCCCTTCACTTTTCATGTATCCTTTTGAATAATCTATTTATTCCAGTTTGAAATCTTTCTTGATTTTCTCTCTTTTTTTCTAAGAGCTGTTGAAGGAGGGGGAGAATTGTGTGGTTTTCTGAAGGAAATGGAAAATATTTTGATTTCTGGCTCAGTTTGCTTTCCTTTTCAATGTTTCTTGTTATTCTTTGTGGTCCAGAGTGCTTTTATTGCCATCCTCTTTGTCTATAAGATTCAAAGAAAAGTGTCATTAAATGGTTACAGATGTGGAAAAAAAAGAAAATATATATACATTACAGTGAAAAAACAAACATGCCACAATACTAGAATAATCTCATATATTATGATTCATTTCAGACATGGAAGACTACCTAAATCCAAGTGTAGATATTCATTCAATCATAAAATTCTCTTGTTGACTTGGATCAATCACAAATTCTTAACAATTCAAAGGGTTATCATCAAATATAAAGTGCTGAGGCTAAATTTTATAATTGCAGATATATGCATACAGAGAAAAATATAGACACACACCTACAAATGTGTATATGAAGAAAATCTATGTCTTTCAAAAATATCCCCAAATAGTTTACAGTCAAAGCTTTTCAGCTAATTTTAGAGATGTGAATGAAAAATTAATTACAAAAGTAGTAAAATAGGGGAAAAAAAGGAAGAAAGAGATTACCTAAGGTGTTTCTTAAAATGGCAGAAGAAATCTGCATACAGAATGTCTGGAGAGAAATGAACCCAAAAAAGACTCAGTATACATTTTATTTAAATAGACAAAAATCATGCTCTAGAATTGATATGATATGGATGTCCCCTAAATAAAGAACTAATATACATGAGGTTGAGATAGAACCCAATATTTGGGCTGACCATAATCCAATAAAGCTGAGTTGAACAGGAGTAAAGAAGAAATCAAGGTGGACATGGAATCAACTCTTATCAAAGGAGAAAGAATTTCAGAAATAGCAGTAACGGAAATGGAATTCTTTTTTAAAAAAAGAAAAAAGAAAACACTTTACTCCAGTACATATGGGATATAGTTAAAACATACTTCAGAGGATTAGCTATAACTTATACGGCTGAAAAGAATAAAGAGAAAAAGCCACAGTGTACAACACTAAGGGAAGAGTTTAAAAACTTGGAGCTAAACTAAACCTAATAGAGTCAGAACAACAAATCAGAAGGGCAAAACAATTTTTTTTCGAAAATGCAAATAAACCGGGAAGATGGCTGGCTTATAAATTGAAAAAAGAAAGAGAGAAAAAGTTGATGAACCAATTGCAAGATGAGAAGGGAGATGTGTAACTCCAAAATGAGACAATAAAAAAATAGTTAAAGAATATTATGAAAAACTATATGATATAGAAAAAAAATCTCTCTGGGAAAAACAACACAATATATAGAAAAAGCCAATCTACCAAAAATTTCAGAAAATTTTAAAAACATGCTAAACGAAAAAATAACAATGATGAAACTGATGGAAGCTATAAAAAGACAAAAACATGATAAAACTCCAGGACTGGATGGACTACCTGCAGTGTTCTATAAATGCTTTCAAGATACATTAATTCAGACAATATATCATAAACAAACAGCAAAACTAATTGTAAATGGGGACCACGCAGGGATGACTTGCTATTTATCACAGAAGAACGATTGGAGACAACCCCTAAATTATTGAAAAGGATTGAGGAATTTGGAGAAGTAGCAGGATTGAAGATAAATAGAGAAAACAAAAGTTATAGTTAAAAACCTTACATCCAAACAAACAGAATAATTGTCAGAAAAAAATGGATTTTCAAATACTTAGGAAAGTTAAATATTTGGGAATATACCTAACAGCCAGACGTGCAATGATAAAAGATAACTACATAAAATTACTTAATCAAATAAAATTAGATCTAGAAAAATGGAAAAACGTACAACTATCAGAGTTAGGAAGAATAGCTACTGTGAAAATGAATACTTTACCAAAACTGCTCTTCTTGTTCCAAACAGCACCTATAAAAACAGAGAAGAAATTTTTTGATGATTTAAATACTTTGATTTTGAAATTTATTTGGCAAGGAAGGAACGCCAGAATTAAACTGAAAATGCTACACAAATCCAAAGAAAATGGAGGATATGGATTACCAGATTGGATCTTATATTTTCAAGCATGGCAACTTCTTACAAAAGAAACTGATATAAAATGTTCTATAGATGGCATTTACCACCTGCTAGATTAACAAAAATGTTTAAAATATGTGTAATAAATGTTGGAATTGTAATCAAACACCTGGCACATATTACCATATGTGGTGGCTTTGTGTTAAAGCAAAATAAATTGGGCAAAAATACACACTTGGTTAAAAAAGATGTTAGGGAAACATGTAGATTTTAAACCTGCACTATTTTATTAGGTATATCAGAAAAATTTAATAAGCAAAGTGTATACTTAACATTGCATGTATTAACAGCAGCAGGGATCGTATTTGCTCAGCTCTGGAAGAATGAAGAAACCGCACTAGACAAAGAGATAATCAAGAAGATCTTGGACTGTGCTGAAATGGACAGACTTACATTGAGGATGAAAGAGAAAGAAGATACAGAATATTTTCAAACATGGAATTTATTTCCTCAATGGCTGGAGAAAAGGGGTAGACACTAAGAATGTAACTTGTATTATTAAGCAAACAAATGGCTCTCCGGTCTCCTCTTAAAAACCTCCAGTGACGCAGCACTCACAACGTCTGGAGGGAAGCCATTCCCAAAGAATTGAAGGAGACTTTTGAAATCTTCCCACCAACAGAAAATCGCAGCCCCCAGTTTAACAGCCTGCAGCACCAGTGGACTTAAAAGTTGGGGAGGTAAAGGATTTGCAACAGCAGCAGCTGAGATGTTTCAGCCTAGTTGCTTCTCTGCTTGGACGCCGTGGAGGAAACCAAACAGCCCCGCTTGCTCCCGGCTTCTTCTCCGACCTGCCCTCCACTCACCTTCCAGCTGCCGCTTCTACCCTGGAAAGAGCACAAAAGCCACTTTGCACACAAACCTCCTCCCATAAGTGATCCGGAAGAGGAAGTTCTGCTGTTCAAAGGGTCCTCTTTCAAGAGGCAACTGAACTTTCTTTCTTCTACTCTTCCCGTCTCCTCCCCTCCTTTCTAGCAATATAGTACTCGATGGTTTAAACTCCTTTAAAGTCAACTGCAGATGCTGTCCACTTTGTTCTCCGCTTTCTAGGCACAGATGTTGCATGTTTGACTCCGGATAGGTGGCGAAAAACACGCTTGTCTGATCTCTTCCTAAGGCGTTTGCATGATTTCCTCCCTGATTAAAAGCTATCAAGTAGTTTTTGACTCCTAGCAACTAACCTTTGCAACTGAGCCAAGTGAAATAGTGAAATGTGATACTGGTTAGCTTATGAAGATTAGCTACGTGCTGAGTCCTAAAAGTTCATGACCATTTTACAGAATTACACAGTTTTTTTATGGATGACTCTCACTGGAGATCAAAACTTCTCTACACCCGAAATCTTTATGAATTATTTAATGTGGCTCCCAAGGTTTTAGGACATAGCAGCAACATCAGGCCAGATGCACCAGGGGAGCCAACTTCATTCCTGCTGGCCAGGGCTGCATCCAAGGGCACCCAGCATACCAGCTTCGTTCCTGAAGGAGGAGAATGTAGATCTGCTAAATGCTAAATGCCATGTACTTCTGTAAATTTGCTTGAGGGGAAGTCTCCATTAGGTCACAGAGGAAAAAAAATGCAGCAGGGCCTGAAAATAGGGGGGGGGGGCGATTGTGAACATATAGTAGAAGAAATATTTCAAAAATACATTTTTAAAAAGAAAACAAAAGGGAAGAATAGAATATCCCACCAAAGCACATGGCCGACTGATCACCAGGCTAACCTTTTTAGAGGGACATCCTGCACTGCCATTTTTAATGTACATCTCGTAGGTTTTGGATGGGGATAGTGGCCATTTCAGCTACTGCATCTGAGCTCTGTTGCATGGAGGAGTCTGGAATAAAAGAACTGCAAGGTATATTTTATTGATTCCCTTTTCATTCAGTAACTCAAGATGGCATACAAAGCACTTCCTGTGTAGCGTGCTGTAATTTACAAGGTAAATATACCCCCAGACAACCTGCCTATTGAGGGAAGTTATATTAAAGAAAGAAATATTAAAAAGGGCAGAAAGATATATTTTTCCTCAAAAGGACTTTTTAAAACCAAACCTGGCCCCAAATCTATCTCTCTGCCCCAAGCAAGAGCTAGGCCCATACAAATGCAGATGTAAAACCATCAGAAAGTTCGAGCCAGAGCAATCAAGAAGACAAAAGAGAAGATCTGCATACCCCATCCAAACTCTAGGAGTCAGCCCCATCACCTGAGAAGCAGGATATGATAATAGAATTAAACCAGATATCAAGGCCTAGACAAACACTCAGAAACAGCCTCAAGGTTCATGCCACAGGAACAGGAAACTATTCCAAACAAAAGGCTAGGGGGGGTATAAAACCTACTGCCCATGTGCTCAATCTCTCTCTGTTCTTCTCTCCTCTGCACTTTCCTGAAGAACCATCTTTCTGCAATAAACTGTAACCTTCTTCCCAAAGCAGTCACCATTTGCTTATTTATTCCCAGCTTGGATGAACCAGGATGAAGACTTTACTTCTAACACTATCTATAATGTGATGTACAATTCTTTGGTTTCTTCTGAATTCAGGATCATTCATCTGCAGACCTTAAATATCAGTTCATTGCTCCAAATATTGTTTCTCTCTTTTCTTGTAGGCATTCCTTGGAAAACCTTAAAGAAAATTTGACTTTTAGAATAGAATAGAGCTGGAAGACACCTTGGAGGTCTTCTAGTCCATCCCCCTGCTCAAGTAGGAGAACCTATACCATTTCAGACAAATGACTGTCCAGTGGCTAGTCTCTTCTTAAAAATCTCCAGTGATGGAGCGTTCATGATTTCTGGAGGCAAGCTGTTCCACTGGTTGATTGTCCTCACTGTCATGAAGTTTCTCCTTAATTCCAGGTTGCTTCTCTCTTTGATCAGTTTCTCGTCCTGTCCTCTGGTGCTTTGGTGACTAACGTGACCCCCTCTGCTTTGTGGCACCCCCTCAAATGCTGGAATAGCACTATCATGTCTCCACTCTTTCTTCTTTTCTTTAGACTAGCCAAGCCCAAATCCTGTAGCTGTTCTTTATATGTTTTAGTCTCCATGCCTTTGATCACCTTAGTTGCTCTTCTCTGAATTTTTTCCAAAATCTCAACATCCTTTTTGTGATATGGTGACCAAAATTGGCTGCAGTATTTCAGGTGTCGTCTTACTAGGGCTTTGTAAAGCAGTACTAGTACTTCGCGTGATCTTGATTCTATGCCTCTGTTTATACAACCCAGGATTGTATTAACTTTTTTGGCGGCTGCTGCACACTGCTAGCTCATGGTCAAGTGATCGTCCAATGGGACTCTAAGGTCCCTATCACAGTTACTGTTTTTAAGCCAGGTCTTGCCCAATCTGTACTTCTACCTTTGATTTTTTTCCTGCCCAAATGTAAAACTTTGCTTTTCTCCAGATTGAAACTCATTTTGTTGGATAGGGCCCAATGTTCAAGTTTGTCAAGATCTTTTTGGATTCCAAGTTTGTCTTCTGGGGTGTTGGCTACTCCTGCCAGTTTGGTGTCATCTGCAACTTTGATGAGTTCCCCTTCAATTCCCTCATCTAAGTCATTGATGAAGATATTGAAGAGTACTGGGCTGAAGACGGAACCTTGTAGTACCCCACTGCTTACTTCTCTCCATGTAGATCTAGTGCCGTTGAGCAGGGCTTTTCAACCTTTTTACTGATTGTATCACTTTTAGGATATCTCAGTATTCGAGTACCACCTAGCAAGGTGTCAAAAACTTGATGACCAAAAAAAAACCCTGTTCAAAGTTGCAATTGCACTGAAATGACTTATGACCATTTTTCACACTTATGACCATTGCAGCCTCCCCAGAGTCATGTAATTTATATTTGGATGCTTGGCAACTGATTTATATTTATGATGGTCACAGTGTCCCAGAGTCATGTGATCCCCTTTTGCTCAAGTCTATCAGGATCCCTTTGGATCTTGAGCCTATCTATTTATGAAGATGTCAAACTGTACTGGGCCCAAGACTGAATTTTGAGATACTGTGGGGGAAATTTAAAAATAAAAATATATACTTTTAGTATTATCCTCATGTAATCATATTTTATATTTTATAATTATTATTGTATAATCAATTGCCTGAGTAGATGCTTTGAGTATATAGGGAATATACAAGCCTCAGGTGGAAGAAGGGGGGAGAACAGGAGTTACTGTGGGGCCCAGTATGAGTCACCATCTAGGAATTGTTTTTAAGTACCTGTTGGTACCTGGTACCCCTACTGGATCTAACAGGTGTAGAGGATGGGAGACATCTCTCTTTTAGAAGTGATCAGCATGCACATATATGGTCTGAGTAAACAGGATAGTAGGGGAGGGATCTTATTAGTATAATGTAAGCAAATGGGGGCGGAGATAATGTATTCTGTTTAGGCGCTTCTGATAGATTGTAACCTCCAAAGCCTAAGTCAATGGGGCCATGGGGGAGGGAATGAGGCGTCGTGATAAGATGTATAATAATATATGATTTTGGAATTTGGGGGGTGGTTCAGTGCTTGGCTACATTGCATTGCCTTCCTGAATCCACCACGCTTTGCAAACCGTTATTGTTTTAGACTTGGATGTGACGTCTAATAAACTTCTTTTCTATTTGTAACCCAGAGTGGATTTCAATTTCTGACTATTTTTGTGTCTAACAATACCCCACTGCATGCTTCCCTCCATGTAGATATAGTTCCATTGAGGAATAGCCACTGAATGCAGTTGGTCAGTTAATTGCAAATCCTCCTGTTGGTGATACTATCCCATATTGTTCTGCCTTACCAAGAAGTTGTGATCCACTTTGTCAAATGTCTTGCTGAAGTCCAAGTCTACTATCTCCACAGTATTTTGCTGATACATTAATGTAATTGCTGTATCAAAAAGGCAGTAAGTTTTGTCTGGCCTGATCTCTTTTTAACAAACCCATTCTGGCTTCAGTTACAGATGCCCATCATTTTGTTTCTTCAGAGACATTATTGGAAACAGAAAAAGAAGTTTGCTTTAATTAAATCAGTTGGGAAATTCTCATTCTTTTAAAAGGAGGGGGCACAGACAGAACAGCCAAGAGGGGGTCACAGGAACCTTCAAATACCCCAAGTGCCATACTCAGGATCAGCTTTGAGACAGCCAAATTCTTATATTAAAGGAATTCATTCCCAAATTTTTCAAAACATTTGTGTCTAACTCACTTTCTCCATCCATGGGGACCTCAACTTTCCCATTGTCTGTCAGATCTGGTTCAGAATTGGGAGAATCATCAGGGAAGTCAGAGAGATCCTCTCTAATTCTATAATTTTCAAAGACTAGAACCAAAGGTTGTTTAGAGTTTGTAAAGTTACAAGGAAAATCATAGCTTAGTTGTCCAGTTTGAAATGTCCTAATTTTATCTCTAAGACTGGTAGTGATGGAGAAGACCATCCCTTAGAAGAATGCAAATCAAAACAGATCAAGTTTAGTCATTTTAATTTTTAACTGTACATAAAGAAATATTGTACTTTCACAGAATTTAGGACTGGGCAGATATCAAGGCAACAAATAAATTAAGAGGCAGAAGTCTAATTGCAATTAGAATGGCTAAACTTCATCTGTTCGCATGAGCGCTTTTCTCAGATTCAGGGATGGTCTTCTTCATCACTGCCAGTCTGAGAGATGGAAATTAGGACATTTCAAGCAGGGGAAATAAGCTAGAGTTTACCTTGTAAGTTACAACCTCTGTACATTTTTTTCTCATATTAAGGTAGCAAAACAGAGAGGATTGTCCCTCTTCTGTGTGACAGTGTGGCAAAATGGCAGCCATTTCCACAAGTCCACTGCATGGCCCAGGGACGAATCCAGGGCCCACTGAAAATGACAGCTGCTTCCTGGAGACAGT